AGTTTAAAGACTACTTTTATGTTATCCAGCCTTTTAAAATTCAACATAAATTAGGGACAGGTTTCATCCCTATTCTTTTAGGCATTAAAATCCCTTTATATAGGATTATAAATAAATACGATTGTTTCTAACATACCAGAGCTTGAGAAAGGCTAAACTAAGTTTTTATCAGTATGACTACTTTTTTGATAGAATTAAGATTCACTGGTTTACATGATTGAAAGATGGTAGGCTTCTAATAGATTTTAAGCACAAGAATATTTTCAGTGACTAAAAAAATATAACCAGGAAAATTTCCCACAGCTTCAAATATGAAACTGGCACAGACTTGTCCCTAGCCCAGCATCTGCTATTTCTGTTTTAAAACAATCACGTGCACTCAAGAAATGCTGCTTTGGAGCTGTCAGGCCATATTAGGTTTTATGCCTGATATTTAAGACATTCAACTATAAAACCATACAAAACTGCATTAAAAATATTAACACACTTGCATGAGGTTGGCTCTCCAGGATATGTCATCTGCACATTTCTGCTGATTTAGAATACAGTGATATTTATTCCATTCAGAATTATCCTCATGACTGTTTTATTAATTCACACGTGAAAGTTGAAAATACATGAAAAACTTATTGTTAGCTCCGTCATGGTTTCCATCAATTAAAATAAATCTGACCACTTCTAGAGTTTGCTCATGTTCATCTTGTAAGGAGTAAATTCATTGAGCTTTGTAATCTCTTCACATTTACTGTCTGGTTTATCACATACCCCTTACGTGTTAAAATTGGTCCTGCTCAAAATTCAATATTAAGGGTGAAATTAGGCAAATAAAAAGATTAAATACAATATTTTTTAAAAGAAACATTTGTTCTCAAATTCTTTACACATTTTATTAGAACTATAAAAGGAAGGCTATGCAAATGTAGCAATGTTTATTTGACCATTACTACATGTCCTATACTTTTTGCTGAAATTTTATGTAAATATTTACAATAAATTAAGAATACTCACCATCCTGCTGTTTCACGAGTCCCTGCTGAATATATCGAATGTATGTAAAAAAGTTACATACAGAAGTGATCTAGATCAAAAGGAAAAAAAAAAGTCATGAATAGTTAAATGTCTCAAATCAAAGCAAGCTTTATTAAAACTCATGATTAAGTCACTTACCCTGTATCTGCAAAAAGGAGAAATATAATAATAGTTGCTTGAGTCCCCTAATTTAATTCTGTGTTTACAGGATTTACTCTGGCCAGTGAGAGCACATTTTCTGTGAAATAATGATAAATTTTAGTTTCTTTTAAATTAAAAGCATTTGCCCCACCTTCTATACAAGTTGTCTATTCATTCACTTAAGATAAAATATTTGAGAACGCACTTGAGTTCGCTTGACATAGACCTAAAAGGCACGAAAACTACTATTATTGATTTAATTCTCCATTTTTAGGTTTGAAGGATCAGGATGAAACCACTGGAGTGTTTGTAGAATTTAAGAATGTAAATCCTTTCCCTAAAATTCTGAGGCCACTGCCCTACAGGTGTCGCACAGGAGAGTGAGGTACATGTGTGGCTCATAAAGCAAATATATGACTAGGTAACCCCCACAAACAGTCGCCTAAATACCAATATTCTATAATTTTGCTGGGAATGTAATATGTATAACAGGAAAAACCACACAACTCCTACGAGAGGCTTTAATACACACCTATTTAGTTAATCTCAACCAGTCTTTTCCTGTTCTGGCTTCCAAATAACCCTAACAGGAGTCAACTATTGCTTTCTATGATCTCTCTCTCTCTCTCTCTCTCTCTCTCTCTCTCTCTCTTTCTCTGGCTTTCCACTCTCCATATTGATCTGGCTGTTAACCACTTAATAAGTAGCTTCTCCATAAGCTTTCCAAGTCTTTTTTTTTTTAGAGATAGGGTCTCACTCTGTCACCCAGGCTGGTATGATCCTAGCTCACGGCAACCTCAAACTCCTGGGATCAAGCAATCCTCCTGCCTCAGAGATTATAGGTACACACCACCATGCCTAGCTAATGTTTAAATTTTTTGTAGAGACAGAGTCTCATTATGTTGCCCAGGCTGGTCTCGAACTTCTGGCCTCATGTGATCCTCCCACCTCAGCCTTCCAAAGTGCTGAGATTATGAACATGAGCAACCGCACCCAGCCCCCAAGTCATTTTTTAAACAGAAGCCAAGGCACAGCTGTGCCTTGGTTTTAGGCAAAACCTTCACCTTTGCCAGAGGTTTTAGGTACTGCTGAGTTCCATCTTTTCTCCTCATAGAACTAGATGGAAAAAGGCCTCCCCTGCTATGAAATGTGGGAGTCTTACCTATGAAGATTTATTCCCAAATTCCCAAATATCTCTCACATATAAAAGTCAGAACTGATTATTTATCAAAGTGAGACTCCTTTATAATAATATGAAAGGAGAAGACTAACTAGGTCTTTTGGGTACCCTGTTCTCAAGCTTGATAAAACTTGGTCTAACTCAGTACCTCCCCAAACTATTTTTGATGACAACCCTCCGAAAGAAATATTTTACACAAAAATTAAGTATACATGGCTATATATATATA